AAATAGTATGTTCCCTGGTTGGGAGAAAACCCACAATGTGCCGGTCATAGAGTGGACGAGGCGCGTGGGAGGGTACGTGGAGGCGTGAAATAGGAAGCGCCCTCGCTTACGCCGCCAATTCGTATTTGGCGTTCGTCGTGTGACTCGTTGACAATAGAACGCACTAACATGTCATGTATGTGTAGTAGTACTACCTATATGGGTCGACCATGTCGTACTTGTTTTCACCAAATTTTTAGGGCAGTTTTCCTTTGGTTATTTCCAGGACGGGTTTTGTTTGTCTTTTCCGCTTTCCCTTTTTATTTTTATTTTTCCGCTTTTCGCTTTCATTTCATTTTATTATTTTTTTCCCTTTTCCTTTTTTCCTTTCTCTTTCTTCTTTTAATTTAATTCCATTTTAAATTTCATCAATTTTATTTTCATTATTATTTTTTAAAAAAACCATGAACTTTTTTTAATTTCATGACCATTTTCCAAATTCACGAACATTTTCAAATCCATGAACTTTCATGAATATTTTTCAAAAAGTTTAGCTCAAAACGAATGCAAAACTTAAAAGGTAGAATCATGGATTAGATTGGCTTTTTCAAGAAAGGAATTAGATTAGCGGTCAATTTGATACATATAGCTTGGATTATAATCTTAGCAAACCAACATGCATTTCTTAATTTTAAATAACTAATGCTCCTTCCGTCCCATAATAGCTATATTATGGGACAGAGAGAGTATGTCTTTATTTTTATTTAATTTTGCAAGGGATAGCAAACTAATGTCTTGATAAAGAAACATACCAAACTTATTATAGTAGTCTCTGAAGAAAAGTATAGTGGCAGAGTCACAAACGGCCACAGCAGGCTGACGATGTGGGCGTGTACTGATGTGATAGTGAAGCAGGGACTGCTCGGTCGATACACTCATCTTCCTAACTTTGTACCAATAAACACCAATTCACTAAATTTAAAAGGTTGACTCCATATTATCAAGTGTTGATTGTTTTACTTTTGACTTGATATTTATATAGGTGATTCTAGTTGTTATTTGGCTTATTATATGAAAAAACTTTCGCCTCACAATCCGTGTTCGTAATACCAAAAAAATTAGTTTGTGCTCCGCCACCGTGCTCGAGCGCAATTTGGTCTGCAGGTGGGGGATAGGTTTGATCTTCTATGTTCTTCTGCATGGTCTCGCCGCGCGACAAACTTTTGATCTCATGTGCGGTCCGGTCGGAGATGACCCGTCACCGCCCCCCACAAGGCCATGCCGAGAGGCGACTGCATTGCGCACATCGGCGGAGTACATGTCTCTGGTTCTCTTCTTAGAAATATCATCGTGAAAGACCTTGTGTATAAGATTATTATTTTGATCTCACCCAGCCGCTGAAATCTCAGGAACGGGCCTGTTTGCATAGAAGAGAGAACGTTTTTTCTCTTTGAACTGATAGAAGAGAGAACGTAGACATGGTGCATTGGTGCGTGTGGTTGGATACTAGCTGCTGGGCAACCAGAGTTGTATCTAACCTAACATTGGTGGTGAGTGCTGACCTTAAAGCAACTTCAATGGGGTGACTCATTTCGTCCGCGGTTGTCTGTTTGAATCGACGCGGACAAAAATGCCGGCCCAACGCGCTGACCCCAAACGAACGCGCGTCTGTTTTCGTCCGCCTGTCGACCCATTTCCGGCCCATTTTTGAGCCTGAGTTGCGTCGGCGCGGACATAAGACGGACGCGCGTAATGGATACATAGATAGTTCTAGCGTACATAGATAAAAGAAAAGACCATTACTCATCGCTTTCTGACTCCGACTCGGTAATGTCCTCCTCCGAATGTAGGCGTCAACATACGCCTCGTCTTCAAAGTCCCAACCCGCCGTTTCTCATAGCTTCAGTTTCAGTTGAGCTGCCTGCTTCCGCGAAAGCTTGTCCTCCCGATAGGCGGCTCGCTCCCTCCTCCTCGCGTCCCTCTCCAACCTCCTTTGCTTGTAGAACTGGCGCTCGTCGACGATGTCCTGCGGGAAGCCTCCGTGCCACACCACCAAGGCTTCCACGTCCTTCTCCGCGATGACGAGGCGACGCTGCCGCCTCCGGTGGACATGATGATCCTCGTCGGTGAAAAGCCGCGGGAGAGGCGCTAGATCCTGCGCCCGCTGACTCGACACGTTGGGAAAATTCATATCCCGACGAGGCCTCAGGAGGCGCCACGCCGCCGCGTCGTGCGCGCGGGCCGCCTTCTCTGCGGTGTCGAAGGTGCCGAGGATGAGACGTTTCTCGCGAAACCAGATCTCGAAGGAGAAGGCGCCGGAGCGGCGCTCGCGGACTCGCGAAAATCTGAAGCGCGTCGGCGGCAAATCGATGTGGTGGCGCAAAGACGGCGAGAGTGGACGGCGGACAGAGTGTGAAGGGAGCGCCTTCTTTATAACGAGCGCCAGCCGCGACGCACGCGCGAACCTTTCCCGCGCGCTGGAGCGCCAAAACCAGCGCGCGCTAGGCCGCTTTCCACGCGCGCTGGTGTGTCAAAATCTGAGCGACGACGTGATCTAAAACGCGCGCGGTCATGAAATGGGTCGGCCCGTTGGGCGCATTGTCGACCCAAAACTAAAAGAAGACGGGCGGCGGGCGGGTAACCGATCCAAACAGATATGCTCTTATAACAATGTAAAGATTGCCGGCAGCTATTTATGTTTTTGTACATGCACCGATGCGTGACGATCGAAAGGCGCTATCTGCAGCCAGGAGTTGTGCAACACACCCAACAGAAAGCAGATGAGAGCAATGACCCACCAGGTCGGTTTTCAGGCGATATCCGTTCGGGTGCCGGCGGGAAAGGCACCGCAGGTGGCGCTGTTGGGCCGGTAACCGACTGGACTAGGACGCGCCAACCAACCACCGCAACGGCAACGGCAATGGGCGCCACCACTTCCCACCCCACCTCGTCGTCCCGGACCGACGTGGGGCGTCGACCAGCCACGCGGCGCACGCAGGGCTGCCCCGAGCTGGGTTGGGGTGCTTCGACCTCGACGTTCCCGCCCGCGAGGAAAAAAGATGGAAGGCGAGGTTGGCACAATGGCACTTGGCGAAGCAACGCAAAATGGCAGCTAAAAAGAATGAATGCTTCCTTCCACTCTCAGCCTATCATCAGGTGTCGCACCAGTATAAGGGACGGTTGCCGCCCGTACGCGATGATATATATTCTAGCTAGCTAACTACTCGTGTGAGATCATGGTGGACGGATCGTGCTTGTGCGGAGACTTTGCCTTTTTCATTATTTTTGCCGCCTGCCATCGTCGTCTTGACCATCTGTAGCTGCCGCGAAATGGTCGTCGCCGTGCCGTCTCCCTCTCTCTCTCTCTCTCTCTCGTGTGTGTACGTAGTCAGCGGGCAAATCCCCTCTTGCCAAACGGCACGCACAAGCAAGCAAGCAAGCAAGACCAGGATAGTAGCACAACGTCTCCCGATCGGCCTTGCGCTTGCGGTTACACTAGAGTAGAGACTGGTATGGTATGGTCGATCGGGAAACGAAGCGTTCGTTCGTGCCCCATAACTCCACCACTGCAGTTAAGGAAACGACACTTGTTCTCCCTCACCTCGTCTCGTCGTCTTCCCTTGTTTCTGCCTGAGAGTTGCTTTGGAGACTCCTCCCGTTTTCTGTCTACCTAGCGGGATCTCTACGCCAGTCAACTGTTGCATCTCTTGCAAATTCTGACCGCTTCTTCAACCAAAACATCATACCCCGGCCGTCTCTCTGTTTGTCCCCTGCCAAAGCAATCCCTCCATCCTCATCTTCATCTTTCATCTTTCGGCGGCGCTCCAAGAACCCCGTGAGTCCCCCCATCTCTCTCTCTCTCTC